AGTGTCGCGTTAACATGAAGTGACGACTCAATCAGCGCGATATGTATTTGGCCATGGATTCTGCCATCTACGGACAATCAACTTTCAGTCAAGGAATCCTTCATGTCTATATAAGAAAAGAGAAATCGATTGTTAATAATAACAACAACTAATTGCGCATGAACAAGCTTTGCGAGTAATAAATTAAAGTAAACTGAAAAGGGAAAAGGAAACATTTCACACAACCCTCAGTTAGCGCGAGTTAGCTTAAGCTAATCGAGGCGAAAGGTGAAGTGGACAAGAAAGAAAAATAAGGAAAAATAGCCGTAATAATAATTTTACAAAGAGAACAAAATTTGATACTCTGCAAGGACTAGTTTTCTGCCAAGAATAATATATGCAAGGTTATGCAAGGTGGTTCTAGCCCTTAGAGCTTTCAGTTGAAATACTTTATTGGGGACCTTAAGCAACTACGACGACGACGACAACAACAACGTCAAGCAACAATTGGTTTTACAACAACAACAACAATTTTATTAAAAAGCAAAGAAATACATTAAACATACACACTGCCTACATTTAACTAAAGCTATTCGAGGCAGGCAGTGTGGGTACTCTACACTGAGTTAATTATAAAGACATTTAAAAAGGAAAATTAAAGAGATTTACAGCATAATGGAAAAAGAGGTTAAAAAAGATAATAATACGAATGAAGAAATATGTAAATAAGTAGAAAAATAAAGGTTACAATAGCATTGGATTAAGATCATCCTTTTTTTAATTTCATTAATAAGGAATTCTATATCAGCATAACTATCCTGTCTCGGAAGATCGAGCAGTAATAGATTGTGTATTTGTTTTCTTAAAAGCTAAAACAACAGTTCTGCACATGCATCACGCTTTTTAGTACACTTCTTTGACGTCCACAGCACGACTACGACATGAAACCTCCAGATGCGACGTTTTATAGAGGACGTGGAGATACGACAATAAATTTTCGATTCTGGATAATTCCCTTAAGAATTCAACGCCAGGAAAAGTCGCCCACATTTGACGAATGAAAGGACGCAAATTCATTTTTTTATTGATGTTTTCACTTCCGTCGTCGTAGTTGCTTAACGTCCCTAATGTCTGAGTAGTCCACAGTCCTCCTCATAACGCCAACTGCGGGAGTTGCGGGTGACGCGAAGCCACCCCTGAGAGGTTCAAGAAAGACCGTCGACAGGGGACAACACATTTACAGTGTGTTCAATCAGCAGGTCACTTTAGCTCAGCTGGTAGGGCACTGGTCTTGAACATTATTTTGGATATAGGTACTACCCATTATTAGCCTGTAAAGAGATAGTCCCTCACGTGACTTGCCTCGGATGACACGTACGAATTGCGGTCCTGCGTCCGGTAGGGGATGTGAAACTCAGTTAAAGTTTCTGGAAAGTTATCATTCAAATTTTTGCCTTGACGGACCAGCGTGGGAAATCCCGAGAGGGCAAGACAAGCCCATCTAGCCTGCTCTGGTAGCCAATCAGAACACAGGATTCACTGTATTTTGCCCGCTGGCGGATTCAGCCATTATAATACATTTCAGCAAAGCACTGGCCCTAAAGACCACAAGTTGTACTAGTTGAAACATTTGCCGGCCATGAGTAAAGATACGCATTCTCTTTCACTGAGTGTACCTCAGGCCCCGAGGATGGTTAATTTCATTAGCTGAAAGATTAGTCTCAAATAAATCAGCCCTTTGCCGTATTGGCATTCAGTTTTGTTTTAATTCCCACTTCAAGTAACGTCCAGCATTACCATCTATATACATTAGAGATCCGGCAAGAAAGAACCAGTCGGTTTTATTTACGCGTTAAGTGGACCTCTGCATTCAAGGGTTTTTATAAAGCTACCCGTTTTTGGTAGCTCCTGCTTTTAACAGCAATTAAAATAGTTTATTTGTAATGTTATCATGGTAAGAATGCTTCACCTTATACGTACGGTAAAAAAATAGCCTGATTGAAATAAAATATCTGAGCAAATAGGTAATAATCGTGACAGTGAGCAGCAAACATTTCTGGAATTGTTTAGTTAAGGTTAATTTTCGCCATTAAACTTGTACAAATAGGAGATCTTTCTGATAACCAGAAAAAACGGTGATGTAAATAAACATATAGCTTTCATACCTGTGAGTAAAAATAATTCCTTTGGATCTAACTCGGATATGGGAGAACAGCCTTCATCGAGACAAAAAAGATCCGACGCTGGAAAAAAATAAGAATGAAACCGATTAAATTTTCAAAATCGAAACCGATGGATATCTTTTGTATTAAAGTTTTAGTACGATTCTGACCTGTAGCATCTAAGGCGGCATCCAAACCCTGCGACACGCTCTGTTCCTCCGCGGAAAACGTTTTCGATGGGAACTCACTGGGTTTCTCACTCTTCTTAAGCAATTCCGTGAGAAATTCAATGTAAGTGGCTGCCATCCATATCACCTGGGTGTTCGTTGGTCGTTTTCCTAGTGGCGGCAGCGGAATATGATCTCGTAGAATCTCGATATGGGAGTTTAAAGTCTGCACTCTCCGTCGTTCGCGCTCGTTTGCTTTCCTCCGTTGCTGGCTTACACCCGTCAAACGAATCGGTTTTCGCCTTGGCTTTTTTCTTGATGTTTTTTTCTGGTTGTATTGAGATCCTTTTCTCAAATTTCCCATTTTCCGTTTTAGCAACAATTAATTAAAGCTTGTTTTTACTAGATTTTGGCCTTTCCTTGGCATAAGAGAAATAAACAAATATAAACAAAGTTCAAACAAATAAAATGGTACCCAAGACAAACAATTTCCTCACGCCTCATTCGTGCCCTGCAGTCGTTTGAAATCTTACGCCGTCTGCAGCTCTTAGAGAGTTCAAAAAGGGCTTCGTGCTTTAATTTGTGATCAAAAGATTTGTTAACATGGAGAAACTAGCCCAATTATATGAAATGAAAACTAGTTATGTACAACGGAGAACTGTAAAAATCAGTTATAACTAAAGCAAAACGGGAAACTGCTCCCACAAGCTATATTTGTAGTTATCACCTATTATTATCTTTTTGGCTACAATAGTACGCTCTGATTGGCTGTTTTCTTGTAATGACCGGGCATTACTAGCTTGGTGTCCAAGGCATATACAATCTGTGTTCAACTTAATGGTGGACATCCTTATGGACATCCATGTTATGGTCAATTGACAGCTGTCAAAAAGATTATCCACTGACCAGTGTCACCTGACTGTATCGGGGGATCAAGTGTACAACTCATTGAGGTGACGCGTTCTTCAAACGTTATGTTGGTTTTAATTGATCGCAGGCTTAAGTCCATCGTCTGTTCGGCCATTATAGGGAAACCTCAGACCTCAGATTTCAGCCTTGATGTATTGACCGAGCGATCGCTCGGTCAATACATCAAGGCCTAGGTCTGACATTTCCCAGTAATGACCTCACTCTCGGTTAATAAATAGTAATATTATTCTTGAAATTACCTGCTGTGCACGTAAGAGGAAAGGAAACTCCCACCTGAAAGAAACAGGGATGCAGGCCTCAGTTAGCTCATTTCGGATATCCAAGTCATTAGACAGTCTCCGATAGATTTCGGGAGCCAGGATCTGCCTTATTAGAAGATCAGGAAACGGGATTTTAGAGCAAAAGAGGAGCGAGGTCCAACATTGTCATCATGAACGGGATGCAGGATTTGGTAGCCTGTGAATACCGTCGTTTCTTCTCCCAACTCGCCATCCCTAGCGAAGAGGAGCGCAGGCTGTATACGCAGGCCAGGGATATCGCAATTTACGATAAGGGATTCGGGAAACGGGAAGTAGAAGACTGATGAAGAACCATCCAACAGAATAGATTTCCCTTTTTATAACAGATAAAACTAAACCGGCCCTGCATTCAGTTTTGTTGTACTAATTTTCTGTTTAAATCAAACACTGAACCAGACAAAACACTCGGCATCTGGACAGTGGTGCAAAATGTTTTGGTTTAACTAAGGCGCTTGTCTCAAAAACGTTATTCTCATCGACATGTTTCTTAAAGGTGATAATCAGCTGTGTCTCAAGGTTACCACAGTCAAGGTAACTAAATCATACAATGTAAAAAAGGAATTTAAGTGCACGTGTGCGACGGCGCGTACTGTCCAATTACTTTGGCATGACGCGTACGTACTGTCCTCTTTCACTGTCCTATTAGTGCTGAAATCAGGACAGTTGATAGCCAATCAGATTTGAGAATTTTTTAATAGTTAAGATTATAATGATAATACTGATGATAAGTGAAAAAGAAACATGCGCGTGTTTGAACTAGTGCCCAGTTCTCGCACACATTGCAAACGAACAGCAAAAGTCAAAAGCGCGCCCTGAACGCCAGCAGTACGATAATTCTTACTTCAGGTATGCCAGCGATGAAGTCTTGTATAACGACCTTTATACTGACGTCAGCAAAAAAGGATATTTTGCTCTCGCCCGATAGTTATCGTCCGAAAACGAATTATTTTAACTGTGTGGTCTAGAACCACAGATATTTAAACGGTCTATACGCACTGATATGAGACAACTGCAGGGTGGTTGTTATGGCATACCACAAGTTATTAAGCAACCACTTGTTAAGCCGTTGATAGAAATTTACAAAGGGGTACTTCCGTGATTTTTGAAGCATATCCGATGACGCAAATACCTCAATGAACGAACTTTTGAGGACTTTTTTGAGTTTAAAGTTTCGGTTAAACTGAATGAATAAGAGTGTTTTCTTTGGAGTTGATTATTTCGCTAAAAATGTACTGGAATGTTTGGGTCAGTGGGTATAAGTGTTTAGACACTGAGAAAGTGTTTATAAACTGAGATTGTTGGAATGGTTGACATTTGAGCTAAACTTTTTAAAATGTTTCTTTTGTATGCTGACAAGATTGTTTGATATACAGGAGTTTTGCATGACTGCCTGACCGATGGCTCTATTTAGTGTTTTAGTAAATGGGTTATTTTTACTTGTTTTTAAACAAGTTCATAGTCAAGTAGGCACCTTTAATGACGTCTGTGACAAGGCAGCTAATAACCTGCGTCTCCAACGATAGCGATCGATCTTTTGCACAATTCTAATAAGCCGTCGTCGTTTAAAAGAAAACAGATCTTAGAACTAAGCTCAGACAAGACACAGAAGACATGGAGAGCGAAGTCGCAGATGAATCGCCCAAAACACCACCGTCGAAAAAGAAAACCAAGCGCCGCGGAAGACGTTTGACAGGCTTAAGTAAGCAGCGGAGAATCGCTAATACGCGAGAAAGAAATCGTGTTCATACGATCAACGATTGCATTGATCGGTTGCGCGACCTCATACCACTGTTTCCACATGAACGAAAACCTTCGAAGACCGACACCATACGCCTGGCAGCACTTTATATTTCACACATGACAGATATCCTTGCCGTGGAGAATACTGACCACCCGGAAATTAAGCCGGACCCAGAAAGTTTGGACGAAGAATTGTCCGTATCTTCTCTGGAGTTTGACCCATTCGACGTAGAAACGGAAGGTAAGATATTTGCCGTGCAGTAAGGTTCGTGTTACGTCAGAAATTGCCACCAATATATCAAAAGTTTTATCTTATTAGAAGAAAACTAAGGGCAATGACTTAGTCTTGAAGGACAAAATTGTTTAAATTAACTGAAAAGCTGCAACTCTACACCACTGATGAACACTAGGAATCTCCTCATCCTCAAAGCCTAGAGCAATTTAACCAGTTTAGATTAACTTCTTTGATAAAAAAGATAGCAACAACTTTGTCATATTTGCTTTCTTAATTACAGACCTGGCAGTTTTCTTTTGGAAAGAAGGCGACGACTTAACTGCAGTCACTACAGACACCAATTGTAGCTTTCCTTCCATTTTTTAAAACCCTATTATATGGCAAGAAGCTGTATGGAGTACGTGAGAGCCCTGGTATTGCTGAATCCGGGTACCGGGTTGGGGTTCTTGGTATGAATCACGAAACCTAGATTTAATATCAGCGAATCAAACACTCAAGACATTTTCAAGTCGTCACTTTTTGAACTGGTTCAGCTAATGTACACTTTTCTCTCCCACTTTAACTCCACAAGCATTATCGATCTTGGTTCAGTTAGACATTTCCATCTTTCACGTTTATGGTAACGAATTTTAGATTATAGCGTGCGTGTTTGTTTTATTATCAAACCTTACGTACGGATAATAACCGCAATTTTTATGATAAATTGTTTTAATAAACGATATCCATCTAAGTCAAACAACTTATCGATATGAAACATCCTTTCGCGTGGGACCAAAAGAGTAAACATTCTTTAAGTAAACTTCACTAGACTGTCGGGAAGTTGAGCATTTAATGACGAAATAGGGAAAGTTAACTTTCTGGAAAATTGCCTGAAGCGCCGGCATTTTAAAGACAATTTTTATCTCAAAACATCAAAGTTTAGTCTCGACAAAGAGTTCAAATATCATGTCACACGACGCAATTTTTTTTAAACAGTTAATAGATCCAAATAGTTTTGATAAGCGCCATCTGCAGTATCGACTGCCATAGTAGAATTCACCCTCTTACTTCCATAAATGGTACTAGAATTTATTTATTTTGTGCGCTCTTGAAGCTTATTGTTCCCTCGAGGTAATCGCTTGGAACTCTGGGTATTTCACGCAAATATAATCGAAAAAAATTACGAACATAGAGAATTTTCTCCGAAGACTCACCGAGTTCTGAAATGTCGCTATGTTGTGACGTCAAAACGTATCAAATTTGATAACTGTGCTGCATGGACTGTCAGCTGAGAAAAAAACTAAAAACAAACTGTTCAAAACCAGGAATCAAAACGTTCCATTCTACTGTAAGGTTCTCTAACGGTTCAGTTTCTTTTTAGGGTTAATGCCGATCCGTCTTAATCTCTGAGGGGAGAACAACTTAATAAAAACTTTTTGTTTGTGATTTAACAATGCGTTGATAAATGCGTTACTGAGTAGCGAAGTGTTGTTTATTGTGCAGTAATCGTTTATTCTGCCAGAATCTAGACTACGAGTAGTCCCCATTTTTCCTCAGGGATAGTCGAGCGACCGAAACGCTAGCGTGCGTGAAACTCACCCCACGCGAGAAACGCGAGACGCGGTGGGGAGAGCTCACCGCCGCGTCTCGCCTTTCTCGCGTGGGGTGATTTTCACGCACGTTCGCGTTTCGCTCGCTCTACTATCCCTGAGGAAAAGTGGGGACTACTCGTAGTCTAGCCAGGATCTTCCCCCGGTGCCTTGATCATTATAGAACTGCTGTTTAATTGTTTGATCAACTGAAATAATTTTAAGTTCGTGATAGGTTAACGGGAAATGATTTCCCTAAGTTTGATTTGGGTACTCTTGTCTGGGAGGAGTGGGTCGATAATGTGTTTCTCTTAAGCCGGGCGGATGCAAGCAAAGAGCAGTTCTTACAGTTACAATAGAGAAGAAAATAATTGACTGTAAAATAATATACCGTAATAATATACCGTACTGGGTTTATACCTCTTCCTAAGGGTTTTTTTAGGAGGGCTTATAAACGGACAGGCTTATATCCGAGGGGGATTTTAACCTGAATAGAGCTATGTTAGTGCTGATCAAAATCGGTTTTGCATTTACTGGCGTTTTTAAGCTTCAAAATGTCATAATAAATCAAATTCATTTCAATACACTTGGGTGGGGCTTATATCCGGGGAAGCTTAAAACTGGAGGGCTTATACACGATCGGCGGTTTACGGTATGATCAAAAGGAATTGTTTCTTATTCATATTATAACTCAATATTATGCTGTGAAGGGGAAAACAAATTTGTCGATTTGCATGGTTGATACAAGAGTTTTTTGTTGTACATGAACAATCATTTATTGTGATCGTAACATTTGTATTTAAAAGAACTTGATGTAGAAATAGTAACAGCATTGGATCTGGTTAGTCTTGCTTGTAAAATGCTCTTCTCTGGCATGCTACCGGATCAGATTCACAGCGGAATCGAATAGGCCCTTTTATTTGCAGCTAGTCATTCACGTGGTACAAAACCATGCTACTATCCCTCTCTTATGCCAACATTAACACTCACTTCTCACTTAGGGCAAAATGTTGGCTTTGGGGAGGGGTAGGTGAGCAGTCTCCCGGAAACCTCAATTGATCCATTTTAAAAAAACGGTAATTTCCTTTGTTTGTCTTCTCCCAGTGTGTTCCTTGTCCTCCAGCATGGCAGATTCCGTCCCGGGGGGG